CAGCACCCGAATAATATTAGAATACATTCAAGAAATATCAGCCTTTGGCTAACAGCAGTACAGTTGAAGTCCGTACATATCACAGCCTCTCTAGGTACAGTAATATCACGTAACAGTTTATCAGTGTCAGAACAGTAACAAGCAAGATCCTCTGCAGAAAGAGTAGACCAATCCAACCTTTCATGCTTTTGGTTAGTCTGAATTAAAACAAGTATAAAAATCAAATCTAACGGCCAACTTTCCAGGAATGTGGTCAGAAATAGACATATTATATAAAATGGAGATATTCTCTAAAGCAGCATGTGCATCAGCTGTCGAAATACATTGGTCTAGCCACGATGTTGTATGCCAGGCCTTACTTATATATGTATAGCTCTGCCTTGGCAAAAGCTCACTACTAGACAGAATCAGATTGTTGTCAGCACAAAAATGCACCATATGCTTTGCGAAAACAGAATTCTTGTCTGAGATATCTGCATTCATATCGCCCACAATATATACACTCGTAAGCCCCTCACTCTGTATAAAAGAGCTGATAAAAGCCAACTTAGTCAAATACTCCTCCTCATTTTGGCTACATACACATTTAAAATCACCAGTTCCTTATTGTCCTGAATCAGGCATATTGCAATGCACCAGTCCACATCAAGCCTGACCACTTTAATCACTGAATCCAACCTCTTAGACCACAGGATAGCCACACCTCCAGGAATTCTTCCTCGCTTGATACCGAGCCCAAGGTCTGTGGTTGATTCCCCGGCACCGTGGAAGCCATCATCAATGGAAACGAGACTACTTAAGTCCTGCTTAGCAAGGAATGTCTCTTGTACACAACAAAATGTCACATTGTTCCAACAGCTCAGCGACAACAGTGCGGCGAGCTTTATCCTCCGCACTCTGGCCTAAGTGCAGGCCACGACAGTTGTATGATATTACATTAAGTACCATATTATTTATTGGCTTGAGCTTGCATCGGCATCGAGAGAAATCCCGGCGCAAATAGAAAGTGCAGCGTGAACATTACCCGGAGTTTTGCGTGGCTCATAATAACGTCTCACAAAGGTTCCAGATTATACATGTCATCTACTTCGTTACATTCAGCAGAAACTTTAAAGGAGGCATACCTGGTGTTACCTGTAACAATTTTGAGACATGTAACATCATGCCCAAGTTTATCTCTTAAGCACGTAACGCTTCAGCTTCCAAATCAGGTGAAAATTTAGATGCAAAAACACTGACCAGCTTAGTTCTGTTAGGTAATTTCTTAGTTAGATAGATATGGATTAGAGATCTGTTGTATTAGAAGATGTTTAGTGTAGCCAGGATGTCTCCTCAGGATGTTAAATGCAAGGTTGGTTAAGGCAGAAGGGCTCAAGTCAGGGACAAATGTTATTATGACGGTAAAAGTAACCATAATATTTGTCTTAATGTGTAATGTTATGTCAAATTGTTTTAGATACACACCACGAAAACAACAGCCACACACATTATTTTCTTCATGTTTTGTCTACTGCTCTGCTCAGCTGCCAAGCTGGCATATCAGGTGACGTCACGGTTCGACAGCCCAGAAAGGATTAATATTGTATAGCAATGCTTGGTTCGGGGTCTTTCTGTTTCCGGGCTGCTTTTGGCAGGCTGGGGGTTGGAAGATCTCTGGACTGGAAGTGTGAATTCTTGCCTGTGACTTTTTGAATAAACCAGCACGGATATATTTTTTATATACTCAAGTGGTCTGAGTCGTCCCTCTGAGTTCCTGGTTAGAAAGAACCGGATGAGGCTTTATAATGGTTTTCAGCCTTTAGTTTTAATCATCTTAATGTTTCCAGCTAATCCTGTGCCCACAACAGATTTGCCAGCTGTTCTCCAACCGGCCATGGTTGTACCTACACAAGATGCTGGCTTGGCAACAGCCTGGTGGCAGCTCATCTAAGTAATGAGACACAAATCTAAGGATATCCTCCCCACATTCGTTCAATACCTTGAGGCATGCCTTAACGCTGTTAGCGTCTTTATGCACTCCCTTATAAGAAACATTACGCTGTGTTGTGACACAGACTTCAAAGAGTGTTTTCTTGGAGGCCTCAATCCACTCCATATCAAAGGTGTTAACTGCCAGCAAAACTATCTCATCCTGATTTAAACTTCTTATTTTTACAGAGAGGAAGTGTAGAAACTCATCCTCAACTATAACTTTGCCATCTATTGTTGTATAGATCTCTGGTTTAAGACGACCTTTAGCGAACACGGGAGCTCCAGGTGCACGCGCTGGTATTGCATCCGCCATATTGAAATGTTTGTTTGTCCTTTATTTTGTTGTTGGTGGTGGGTAAACAAATAACATTAGTTCTAGAATGTCCAGCAGAGAGAACTCCTTCTGGCTCTGACACAGGCTGCCTCCTTCTCCCCCCTCTGTACAAATGCGCAGACATGTTGCATCTTTGCTGTCTCTCTCTCAGGCCCTCACGCCTTCTTTTGACTTTAAGCACATCTCTTTATTTTCTGTGTTTTTATTGTACTTCCTCGTTTCTCATTTCCTCTACAGTTCTATCAACTCAGGCTACCAGCATCACTGTGGGTAACAGTTTTAGCTTTGCTATATTTAAATCCAGTTTCTTCTTCCTAGCGATATGGACATAAGATTCACTTAAATATGATACATATTCAAAATAAATTTTGCATGTCTCTCACAGTGAAGCTGTTTGTCCTTTATTTTGTTGTTGGTTGTGGGTAAACAAATAACCTTAGTTCTAGGATGTTTAGCTCAGGTTACAGTTTAAAACTGACACTGTAATTTCTACATCTACATCACTTGTTTACAGTTAAACTGTCTGGTTACTTAAAGTTAATCCACACCTTCCAAACTGTCAGAATCCAGAACTTTTATAGTGACCATTGTATAAGTGTGAAATACAGTATGTGCACAGCTGCTGCAGAATGTTTCACTGATGTAGTTTGGAAACTACCTCTGCACACTGTACCTGAAACTCATCTGGTCCATCTTTGATCTTGTCAGCAAGGTTTCCTCCATCACAGTAGTCAGTCACTACGTAGTAGATGTCCTCATTTTCACCTTTATGGCAAAAAAGGGGTGAAGTATTTTATCTTCAGAACGTAACTGTGTACAGTACCTCTCTCAAGTAAACACAAAGTAGTAGTTTCGTATTTTTGTCTGAGCTCACTATTGAATTGCTGTTAGCATTTAAAATTAGGAATTGTAGTTTTTATTGAATTGTGGGCAACACACTGAGGGCATCACATGACACCTGTAACACATACTGGGAGTGGGGCAAATTCAGTGTAGGACTATAGGAATGAGTGTGTACTTCCGTATTTTATGCTTTTGATGTACATTGAAGCCAGGCAAATAGGACAGCGGCATGTCCTGATGCCAGTTCCCTACCAGTGTGTGGGCTTGTATTGAAAATAATGAGAATGTTTTGATGCATGTCACATGCAGTCTGTGTGCATTGTCATTAGCAGTGCTTCTATTTTTACAAGTTCATACATGTTGTTCATACAACAGCTGTGCTGAGAGACGCAACATTAATTACTCAGTTGTTACTGGAGGGCACATACAAACAAAGAAAAAGTTGATTTCAAAAGAAAAACTACTTTTTGACATTTTCCCAGTTGGTGTAAACAGACACACTGGCAGTCATTGTACAGGACGGTGTACATACAGTACACCATATGTACACAGCAAGGAATAGGCTAAATGGCGGCACAGGCCCCAGCATATCTGCATTCAGAAACACCCACTGCAGAACGCCCTCCAGCAAGTGCATGGAGCTACGTTCAGAAGCACAGCGCTGTTTGCAACAACATGTACAAACACCCACTGGTAATTAAACCATATTATAAAAACAGGTATAAACACCTAACAGCTGGGAAAAGGAGATGTATCATGACCAATTTGGTCTTTGAAAGACAGTGAATATTTTCACATCTGAAAACAACAGTACGTTACATTAGCCATGTGTAAATACAATCTGGATGAGTTTTAAAGTGAGTGACTCTGGTTTGTGTTTAATTACATTACCTGTCTGGGTGAGGCTGTGTGAAGTCACTGGACCTATATTAATGGGTCATATGGGTCCTGACAGAGATAATTGTGGCTAGAGCTCCAGTGATATTGTGGCTTCACGATATTGCGTTGTATGAAAATTGATGTTGAGACTCATATTACAACTTTATTGTTTGCATATTGTGTACAGACATTACCTTTAATAAACAAATTAAAACTTGAAGTGGATTTGACAAAACTTACCTTTAAAGGAGTTTTTCCAGCTCAAAATATGAGGATGACTGACTGTCTTCAGGATTTCTGCTTCTGAGATGAAATCTTGGTTTGTGGGTGTCTGTTAAAAACACCACTTACATAAGAATGAACTGGTAACACACAGGCTAAAGTTGTATGGCTGAGACAGTCAACAAACTAACTCTTTAAAAAACATCCTCTACTTGTGCCTGCTTTTTTCTCTTATGTGGTGTTATTGGATGCTGGTAAAACTAACATCCATCATGCATAAGCCCTCCCATCCCCTGCACCACACAGTGGAGGCTCTGAACAGTTCCTTTAGCACAAGACTGCTACATCCCCAGTAGAAGAAGGAGCGTTATCGTAGGTCAATCCTCCACACAGCTATCAGACTGTACAATACATCATTGCAGTGATAAAATAGGTGAAATTATGAGGGACTATGCAATAGTCAACTAAGGTGCAATACTCAGATCCTGGGGGTAAAATGCATTGTAAAAATATGCACATATGTAAAATCCTGTTCTTGATTTCTCTCAAATACTTTATATTGTCTTGTTTTAGGTATTTTTGAATAGTTTTTCAGAGATCCTCATGGCTGAAATACAGGTATTTCCCCCATTGCTTAATTATGGGATTAATATTCTTGTCCCTGATTTCTTGATCTCTTGAATACTATATCTTTGTGTTCGTGTTCTTAGGCATTTTGATTTGTTCTCAGGGATTAATTGTGGGAGGATTATTCTTGTTCTTGATTGTCTCTCAAATACTATATTCTGTTTGGTTTTAGGTACTTTGGAATTTGTTTCTCAAGATATGTGTGTGGTATTTGTTCTTATGGTGTCTATTGCTGCTGAAACACAGGAATTTCCCCATTGTGGGATCAGTAAAGTCTTACCTAACTTAACCCATTGAGTTAATAAATTGCAAAAAAATTATAAATACTAATTTACTGCTGATAATCTATGGCTTGGTGTCAAAGCTCTTATAGTGTTAATGTTAAGTGTATACTTTGCCACTTACTATAGTTGCTGTTGTACTTCAAAGTTTGTGTACTGACAAAAGCAGGCAAAGAAAAAGCTCAACTCTGTGCTAGCAAAACAGAAAAACATATTTAGCTTGTGTTTTACTTATTTTTTGTTGTTCACAAGATTGTGAATTGGCCTTTGCTTTGCTGGTTTGGAATCTAGATGTGTAATAAGGTTAATAAAGATAAGAAACACTTACCTTTATCTTTTTCACAAAAAACTTGTCATCTCCCTTTATGACAACAGCAAACATTTCAGTTTCTTCCTGTATGACATAGCCTTTCTTTTCCAGGGTGCTTTGTTCTTTCCCCATCTTTGTTATTATTTCCTAAAGACACAAATTATGAAACCAACAAACAAAAATGTTATAGATCTGTACAGAAATTTACAGTGTGTGCTTTACTTTCCTATCCCAGTATGAAAATGTGAAAAACAAATTGCTGTGAAAGGAGGCAGCACTTGAAACCTTTTGAGTTATTATCATGATCATCACCCTCTACTGTAAGTTAACTTAGTTGAGTGCATGATGTGAGGTCTTTGGACTGGGGCAAACATTTCAGTGTTACTTAGTCTTGTAAAAAATAAAATAAAATAAAAAATTAAAAAACCTTCACATGGTTCTGCTGTTGTACGCTTCCTGTGTCTATTAGCCCACTGCACACAATGTTAGGTAGTGTAGTCACCCAACCAACAAATTTTGTTCATTTAGAAATCCAACAGTAGTCAACATGGTTTAAAAACTGCTCCAACAGGAGAAACAGTATAATCCTCTGTATTTCTAAACAATTTTGGGCTCCTTACAATTGCTTAACTGTCTTGTTAAGACTTGATTGTTATATGTTCTCAATAGCCACACTGAAGATAAAATATAAACGTATGTGTGTCTGAGATAAGAGAGACAGTAATAAGGATAATCAATTACCTTTATTGGCCAAGCATGTGACACACACAAGGAATCTGTTTCCGGTACAGAACCGAGGAAGCCATCTGCGGCGCCAACTCAACCAATGGCTCTAACCATCAGAGGCAGCTTGGGGGTTCAGTGTCTTGCCCAAGGACACTTCGACATGTGGACTGCAGGCACCGAGATTCAAACTCCCGAACCTCCGGTTGGGAGATGACTGCTCTACCCACTGAACCAAAGTCGCCACCGATTATTATAATAATAATGTGTCTTTAAGTGACTCAGCATTTTAAGCAAAGAACAGCAGACTTCAGTGAAACATGGCGTCTCAAAATGAACACTAGAATAAAAAATGCTTAACCTATTAAAAAGATCTCTTCACTCTAAGTGGCAGAAGGCTTCAACAAACACTCTGATACCCTTTAAGTGAAGATATTCCATAAAATGAAGGATTTTTCATGAGTTACAAATAACCCTCATTTTCATTTCGGTGGGATTTTCTGAAATTTGTCATCTCCCTTTATGACAACAGCAAACATTTCAGTTTCTTCTTCCATTACATAGCCTTTCTTTGCCAGGGTGCTCTGTCTTTTCCCCATCTTTGTTATTATTTACTAGACACAAATTATGAAACCAACACACAACAACGTTTGTCGATCTGAATCTTTTTTACAATGGGAGTCTTTGAGAGAGTGAAGTGACAATCCCTCTGGAATTTGTCACTTCATTCAAAAACAGAAGATGCTAACAAGAATGTTTTCTAAATTCATACAACTTTCTCAACATTGTAGTGTATAATTTGTTTGTGAAAGTTTAAGGTTACAAAATAAGAGCAGAAAACAGAAAAACTGCAACCAGGCTGAAAGAGAGCTTGATGTCACAGTGATATCACACACTCTAAGCGCTCTCTCACAATAAAACTTTAAATGAATGAGTTCCATTTGTGTAAGTACTATTTGAAGATTTTCAACACATTTTAAAAATACTGTGATAATATTGATACTCGTTCATTTTGGTCACTTTAATCGTGTTAAATTTTCATACCATTACATCTCTACCTATGACACAACCTCTAATGCCTCAATTCATCTTCATTCTGAAATGGAGAATACAGATGACTGAGAGAAGCAGGAAGTCACTTTTGATTGGCCAGGCGATTGCTGTTACATCTGTGTTGCTTTATAGTACATCGATAATAAGCAGTAGCTGACAGTGTTTTACACATCTGTATGGGACAGTTCATTATACTAACCTTGCTTAAATATAGTCTGGATGAGTATTAAAGTGAGTGACTGAGCTTGTGTTTTACTAATGTTACGTGTATGGGTTGGGTCAGGTCACTAGTACTGACCTTTGCAGGTGTATATTGCAAAATTAGACTTGTTAGAGCTTTAGCTTTCTATTCTACCATATGCATTTATTTAAAAAATTATGTTGAAACCTATTACACATATCACAACTTTATGTACCTTGTGGACAGACAACCATTACCTTTAATAACAAATTCAGAGGAACATAAAACCGGAAGTGCATTATGTCAAAACTTAGCTTTCACTGGTCACAGTATGAGTATGAATGGAGGATTTCTATCTCTGAGATGAATGCCTTTCTTACTGTCTCTGCCAACTGTATGACTGAATACAACAATTATAGGCCCTGCTTTCATGAAAGTGGACTGAAATAAACAAAAAAAACCCTTTCCAGAAATGTTGGGACATTTTTCAAAATGCAATAAAATCTGAAATTTATGATTTGTTAATTCACTTGAACTTTTAACTGACAAAAATGCAAAGAAAAGGTTTTCACTGTTTTCACTGACCAATTTAATTGCATTTTGTAAATATAAACATGTTTAGAATGTGATGCCTGCAACATCCAAAATAATTACTAGTACTGACCTTTGCAGGTGTATATTGCAAAATTAGACTTGTTAGAGCTTTAGCTTTCTATTCTACCATATGCATTTATTTAAAAAATTATGTTGAAACCTATTACACATATCACAACTTTATGTACCTTGCGGACAGACAACCATTACCTTTAATAACAAATTCAGAGGAACATAAAACCGGAAGTGCATTATGTCAAAACTTAGCTTTCACTGGTCACAGTATGAGTATGAATGGAGGATTTCTATCTCTGAGATGAATGCCTTTCTTACTGTCTCTGCCAACTGCATGACTGAATACAACAATTATAGGCCCTGCTTTCATGAAAGTGGACTGAAATAAACAAAAAAAACCCTTTCCAGAAATGTTGGGACATTTTTCAAAATGCAATAAAATCTGAAATTTATGATTTGTTAATTCACTTGAACTTTTAACTGACAAAAATGCAAAGAAAAGGTTTTCGCTGTTTTCACTGACCAATTTGATTGCATTTTGTAAATATAAACATGTTTAGAATGTGATGCCTGCAACATACAAAATAATTTAGAACACAGGCTATAAAGAATGAAGGACTTTGGAAGATCTTCCTACCCGCTTTACTTTGAGTAAAGTTTGACTAAACCATTACCGACAAGCAGGTAAATATACACCAAACAGTACGCTATACTAACAAATTATTAAATACTAACATTATACTGCTTTGTATGGATAGTTTCACCGTCTACTGACCTGGAAAACATAATGTGACAGCAGAACAGAACAGCACTCTCACGGTGATGCAGCATTTGCATTAGTGATGTGTCATGCGCAAAAGATGTGGTTCTGAGAGCCGATGCTTTAGAGAATATTCCAGTAACACTGTTCTAAAATTAGCATGTTAATTGATAAGAGGTGTGGGAAACATGGGTACGGGTAAGGGGAAATGGAAAATAAGGCATTTAGAATTTGGAAAATGTTCATTTTTCTATTTAATTTTCTTGTGAATTTTCCTCCACAAGGTTTGAGTAGGGAGCAGTCGTATGCTCTTTATCATGTTCAAATATTTTTGACAATCGTCTGTCGATAGAGCGACTGCTTGAAAGGTTATAACATGTATTGCTTGAGTCCTCATTTAATCAGACGATTGTGTGGTTTCTTAAGTGGGCTGAGACATACAGTACATGTTGTGTTTGTACTTCTCTCATTTGCATGGGTGTGTCTGTGTTTGTTTTGGATATTCACTCTCTCCCTAAACTTTACACAAGCTACTTTTGCTTTTTTGAGTTTGAACAAGATGCAAGTAGTTTAAGCTACACAGGAGGTCACTACACCTGCAACACATGAACCACACCCTGTATGAATCTGAGCAGAAGGCTAAGTACTTTTAACACAGACAATATTATGAAATCATAAACATGAAAGATGTTAAACATAAATTAAATCATAAATCATTAATGCTAACACTACTATGGTCATCCTTAACCATTTGTGTTTATTATTATGTTACTAAGTGTTACGGGCCCCAAGTGCCGGGGCTGCGTAGCAGTGAATTAGTGCAGCCTGGAAAACACAATGTCACATCAGAACGGTTTAAACATTCTTACTCCACGTAACTCCTAATAACAATATACAATGCATATTAGTGACAATAAAACTGAATAAGGTCCATAAAGCCGGACTTTGGAAGATCTTCCTACCCGCTTTACTTTGAGTAAAGTTTGACTAAACCATTACCGACAAGCAGGTAAATATACACCAAACAGTTCGCTATACTAACAAATTATTAAATACTAACATTATACTGCTTTGTATGGATAGTTTCACTGTCTACTGACCTGGAAAACACAATGTGGCAGCAGAACAGAACAGCACTCTCACGGTGATGTAGCATTCGCATTAGTGATGTGTCATGAGCAAAAGATGTGGTTCTGAGAGCCGATGCTTTAATGCTCCCAGTGTTTTTCCTTTCGCTGCTCAGTGGTCAGCCTGAGCTCTGCTCAAGTCAGAACTTTTTGATTGGCCAGCAATGGCATCGCGGCCAATCAGAT